TGGTTTGGTGGACAGATCAGCCTTTAAATATTTATATGGTACACACCAATAATTAGTATCCAACGAAGCCATCAAATTATATTTATTTCAATATTTATTATATATTTTTTTATATTTTTAATAATAGTAATAGTAATAACAATAATTCTTTAACTTTATATATAATATATATCAATTGCGGTGTATACTCATAAACTTTCTACATCTCTAATAATAATGATAATTAGGAATTGCACGATTTAGGGCGTGACCCACCATCATCTTGCAGTGCTGGACCTATTGGTGACGATCTTTTCCACTGGCAAGCTACAATTATGGGACCCGTAAGTTCAATAATCTATATATATATATTTATATATATAGTAATATAATCATTTTGCTAATAAATTTATGGAATTAGACTGATTCTCCATATGCTGGCGGTGTGTTTTTCCTTGCTATCCATTTTCCCACAGATTATCCGTTCAAACCACCAAAGGTAAGAAATAATAATTTTATATTGTTAATAAATTATTTATATTTTTATTAATATATATTTGTGTTCAATCGATTAACATACTAATACTAATAAATGTAATCAATCATAATATTGTTGTATTATTATAATCAAATTATATATTATAATTATAGGTTAATTTTACAACCAGAATTTATCATCCGAATATTAACTCTAATGGTTCCATATGTCTGGATATCCTAAGAGACCAATGGTCGCCTGCTCTAACTATTTCTAAAGGTAAGAGATAGATATTATGATAATTATTGTGATTAATATGCATACATAATATTTTACTAATCGAATTATAATAATAATGAACATCATCATCATTCACCAGTTCTTCTGTCTATTTGTTCCATGTTGACTGATCCTAATCCAGGTAGATATTAAATAATATGTGTGCGCACACTCACACTTGATATAATATTCACCATTATATCAGTTATTAATAATTAATTGTATTAGATGATCCACTTGTGCCTGAGATCGCACATGTTTATAAGACCGATAGACCTCGTTATGAGGCAACTGCTAGGGAATGGACACGTAAATATGCTAGTAAGTGATTGATTCATATTATTATAAATTATTTAGTGTTTTTGAAGATAAATTTTATTAACAAAATTTTTTACTTTTATTTTTATTTTTATTTTTATATTTGATCGAACAATAATAATCTTACCCAATTACCATCATTTAATCTGTCCAATGCAAAATCCATAGCAGGTTGATAAATGCCAGCACCTCTAACAGTAGGTACAACTTGACCAAGTGCAAATATCTTTGAAACTGTACTATTTTTATAATAATGTATTATTAATAGTAATATTATTAGATGATCTTAAATATTGTCGTCGCGATTATATATACATCTACTTACGGTGTGATAAAACATAGTTCTTGTGCACCAAGAGTCCAACGTACTTTTTCACGATTTAGAAATACTTTGAAAGGAAGACTTCCCCAAATTAAAGGATCGTCGACCCTAATTAGGTATAAATTTAATCAAATCAATCAACCAATATATAGTTAATTAAATATACATATTCGGTATAAACCATACATTCAATCACTTACGTTGATAAATGGTTTGCAACTTTTTTGTGTTAGGATATGATATGATTCCAATAATTAATTATTAATTATTAATTAATTAATTAATTTAAAATTTTCCCAAAATCGCATATTTTCCCCAAAAAAATAAATCTTCACCAAAAAACATCCATACCTGTCAATATGGGACGTGTTCTTTTTGGATCCATTAATAATTTAAGAAATGGTTCTTTATTAAATACAGTAGTAGAACTATTACAGAATTTCAAAAAAAATTTACAAATAAGTACACAAGAACATATTGCACACCAACTAGCTAACATCCATAATCTATTTGTTGCTGGGGTTAAAAGCATTTTTCCATTCTTGACAAAATATGGCAATGGAACATTTACTGATTTAATTGTGGTGAGTTTCTCGATTGTTTCTTCAATATTAGAAAATGATGATGACGGAGAATAATTTGTTGTATCTTCTATTTCTTCTGATTTTGGTGCCATGTTCTATCTCTATTATTTGTAATGAGTTGATAAATAAATAAATGCAAAGGTAATTGAGAAAGTTGTATAATTTAAAAAAAAAATGAAAAAAAAAATTTTGCAATATACATAATAACTTAACATAAGAAGGTATGTCGTACTACCATCAAAAATCCAATAATGACCATATTTTTAAATTAAAAAATCAGAATGGCTTTTTTGGAAGAATCTTGCATGGTTATTCTTGCCTTTTCTAGAAGCAAAGAACCATTATGTTGGTTTGAAAGTGTATGAGTTGCTAGAGCAGTAGATTTTGAAACATTCTTTGATCCTAAATAATAACATTAAAATATCAGCAAATTAATAATTGCAAAATGCAAAATTAATTATATTTATTTGTCACCTTTTTCTGTAAATTCCCATGTGTTTTACAAATTGTGCAAAACACACTCTCTATTGCTGCAATGTATTTTAATCATTTATATGTGTTTAGCCATTCATGATGAAAACTTCTTCCTGATTTTTAAAATGCACTTTTTTATTTGACATTTTAATATGGTTTTCACTTGATTCACACTTTTTTTATTTGTTTTTTTGAAGTATCATCATTATCTGAGCCTTGAATTGTTTCATTTATAAATGCTTCATCCCAAATTTCAGTAGTCAGATTATCTAATTCTTCTTATTCTATACTATTTATTATATATTTTTTTGAATAAGGGAAAACAAATATACATAAATTCATATTTAAAGTGTATATATTTTTAAATTTAATAATTTAATAGCAGTGAAATAAGATTTAAATTAAGTTAATACTTTCTTCTGGAAATTCAAAAGATACAAATTATGGTTCTTTTCTAAAATATTGAAGTAGTGACACACATATATGTATACATTATTCAGTATAAATTTTTTTATGTGGATGGGAAATCTACAAAAAAAAAAATAAAAAAAAAAAATAAAAAGGAAAAATATCCAGCTTTTTTTTTCCAGAAGTTAAAATTTTTAAAAGGAAAATCCGGATTTTTAAAGACTATTTCCAGCCCTGATGCACTCCTCTAAGTGCACACTATCACTCATTCCCAAGGGGGTGCACTTAGAGGGGGTTGAATGTATAAAGCTCCTAGAAATTTTAAATACATTACAAATACATTGATTTCTAACCTAAAATTTAAATGACGATTTTAGAGAATTTAAATACCTTTCATTACACACTGTATTAAGATTATTTTTCATACTTAATCAGATGATAACTTGGAGTTGGTGAATAAATTATGTGACGAAGATTGTATTTTTTATCATTATTTACTGCGTACTGCTGATCTTATTATAATGATTTAACTTGAACAAAAATTAAACAAAAATCATTGTATTTTTTATATTTAACTGTTTTGATTAATAGGGTTTCTTTTATTTGCGGAATTTTAATTGACAATTTGTGAAGTTATTCATATGTTTCAGCTGTTTGACCATTGAGTAAACCAAAGTATTTAATGGAAAGAAGATGTGTGATATGACACAATTTCAACCATTTCAACTTCATGTATAATATATATGAAAACCATTAATAATATTTTAGCCTTTGCCTCATATTTTTCTGCTAACTCTTTAATTGAAGCTTGATGTATCATCTAAAAATATAAGATAACATGTAATAAAAAACAATGTTATGTAAATGTTAAACCATGTAAATACATTTTAGTACTTTTACTTTATCATTAAAACTTAATTATTTCTAATACTGATTTGTGTAGGTATATAGACAAGACACTTCAACAATAGTTTGTGATTCTCTTAAAAATACTCAAATAAACCAAACAAAATAAATGGTCATTCTAAATTGATAAAACCAACATTAAAATTTCTACTTGGTAATATTTATTTTATGATAATATAGATAATCAACAACTCAAATCAAATGAAACTATTGATGGATTAAAAAGTTTAATCTCTTGTGTTGACGTATATCTTGATACAGAACTAATAGTCAATAAAAAGTCTATTAACAAATATACAGAAGTTCAGCTTTTTGAAACAGCAAAGCTGTGTTCTGATGAATATATAAGATGTACAGAAAAATTTTTATTCTGAGCCTATGTTTAGTAACATTATGATTTGTATGAATGAAGATGATTTAAAAGGTTGTCCAAGTGATAATGGAAATTGTTATGGAAAGTATATTTACAGTGTGTAAAGAAATTATTGGCAATTACATATTTGATCATTACACAACAACCACTGTAGCAATCAACATGGTTAATACTTCATCTGGTAACTTGAGTATGAGAGATTTATTGATAAATTTTTAATATGATATTCTTTCTCCATTACTCTCTATAACTAATTCACACCTTCATTCATTGATTTTACTAAATTGATTAACATGCTTTTTGGAATGGCATTCCATTCTTTAACCATAAAATGACTTAAATCCTGCTGATTTTTAGCATTCCCTTTTCAACATTTCTCTTAACAATATTCCAGAGATTCTCAATAGGATTTAAGTCGGGACTGTTTGCTGGCCAGTCCATAATGTCTGGGACATTCTCACTAATGAATGATTGGGCAAGACGGCTAGTGTTTTTAGGGTCATTATCCTGTTGAAACTGCCAACACCTCCCCATTAGTTTTCAAATCTCAGGAATATGGTTTTCTAGAATTTCAACATAAAATTCAGCATTCATAATATTTGTGGAACAAAATAGGCCGGTCTTACCATTTATAGAAAAGCCTCCACATGCAAATATTTTAGTATAGTTGGCTTGGTCTAGAGACCTCCTAAATTTTGGGCAAATTTTAAAAGTATAGAAGTCACTTTCTGTCCTACCTTTTAAAAAAATAGCTCTATTAGTTGATAGAATATGTCTTTATTTTTAAAAAATTATTTGTTGGAGAGTTCTATTCTTTTTTAAAACATGTACTTTACTATGCTCGTGAGGAATTTGTCTACTATGATCATTTCTAAATTTAGAAAAAATTACCAAATTTAGACTAGCTCTTGACTATTGTATCTAAATTTGGCAGTAAGAAAATTAAAATCACGTGAAGTCCTATTTTTTGAAAAATTTTATTCCATTTTTGAACGAACTACAAAATTGCTATTTTGAAATTTGGCCGTATGGCGCAGCAATAGGAGGTCTTTAGACCGAGCCAACCATATGATAAAAATAAAGAAAAGTGGGAAAAATACAATGGTTTGAAAAGAACAAGTTTCATGTGTTGATTAGATTGTCAATTTAAATATAGAAAGGATTTGGATGGTTTGTGCATAACTTGTGAGTATCAGGTTTTTAATTTATTGATTGAATCACAGTTATATGAAACAGAAAAAAATATAATTTGATTAATAAAATAGAATTACTTGGATGACATTTAAAAAGCAAATTAGATGGTGAAATAATGGTTTTAAATAATGGGCTTCTTGAACATGATTCTTGCTTAAATCATTGTCTTCTTTATGCTTTTGGAGAATGCACAGAAGAGCATAATTCTTTATGCAATAATTGCATGTCTTTATTTACAGTTTTAAATGAAATTAAGAAAACTTCTATAATTAACATAGAAATATTAGAGGAATACCAGAATCAGGGCTGGCTGCATAACTCAAATGAGCACTTGGCTAAACTGACTAAACTATTTAGTCATATTTTAAGTCAAGTTTAGTCAAGTTTAGTCAAGATGATTACTAAATTAGGTTTTTAACTCCTTTACACTACCAGCCCTGATCAGAATAAACTTTTATCCCATCAATTGCATGGGATATATTTAAATTCACAATTTAATGCTGAATTACATGAATTAAGACATGTTGATGCAGTGTTAATTTATGACTACAAAATGAAGGTTAATCCTATAAGTCGTTGTGGAACAAAAAAATAATTTTTATGGAAAAGAAGGTTGGACTCTTCATACAATTCTAGTAATTACCAAATCAAAAAATAATTATGAAAGAGCATTTGACCATTGGTCTGATGATGTTAAACAAGATGCTTGGTTTACTGCATTAGCATTTGATGTTGTTCTAGAACGACTAACAAAGCCAGATGCAAACATTAAATTCAATTAAAATATTTTTTGATAATGGTGGACATTACCATAATTCAGAATCAATGGTGATTGCTGGTTATTGGAAAAAATGGTATAATTTGAATATAACAAAATAGAAATTTTTGGAACCAGGTCCATTGTATATTCTCACCATGCACAACTATCTCATGGATTTATTAGATAAACCAAAATTAGGCCATAGCATTTTTAGTGGAGAAGATATTGTAATTTCTAATGAATCTCTTGCAGGTACTTCACTTCAGTTGGAAAATTAACTCCAGATCATAGTAAAAAAAATATCAGTTGGGACCATTACAGGAATTTCCAATTATTTTACTTTTATGTGGCCAACTGATGTAGAAGAAGGAATTATAAAAGCCTATGAAATACCTAATTATGGATCACCAAAAATTTATTCAATATTTGATATAAAAAAACTTCTCAAAAACAATAATATAAGTCAACCAAATGCTATAATCAGTGACCCAAACAATACCTCAATCAGAATGGAAAATGACTATACACAAATTAACCCATCCATCCAGAAATTGAAAACTTCAGAAGTAAGATTCATCCTTAAAGATAAGAATTTGGGTTCACCTGAGAATAAATTGGTTATCAAAGAAAGGCTAGACCAACATAGCAGTTATGATTTATTATATAACTTAATGCTATTGGATGATAATGATATTAATATGAAAAATATCACCGCTTTCAACCAACAGTTCACCATAATAATTGTAAATTTCTGCTGAATCACTAAATTTCCTTATTGCATATTAAATCTGGATTTGCTTTGAAAAGCAAACAAATATTTGGGAAAAAAGGTGGTGGCAAAAGAATTAATTTAGAAGTGGTTGAAAAATCAAAGAAAATGTTTTTAACTGGTAATGTAGAAAAAATCAAAAATATCAGCTAAAAATATGTTAAGAAATCTTTAATCATATACTGAAAATAATGAAATTGAATTCAAT